GGGCTGAGAGATGCAAAAAAAGAACAGAGTCAGAAATATCACTATCAAACCTATTCTTTAAAACACCCTTTTCTTACCTCACCAAGCTGTGCCACTTGGGATTAGCAAAAACAATGAGGTTGACAGGATCAGGACACTCCCTTGGAACATGACTCTCTTGTCTGAGAGAACACCGTACCGTCTTCATTCTCTTTACTCTGCATAGAGTTTCTTGGCACGAGTCTTGGATAAAAGTCTCCTGCTTTTCACGTTAGTGTAGAACAGGAGTAAATTCACTGAAATGCAGGCATGCCATTTTCAGAACTTTAACCTGTGTAAGTCTCTCAACTGTGGCATGCCAATTTCACATGCTACCTCACCTGCACGTAGCCCACAGATGTTCTGAAGCCAACAGCTCATGTAAAACGAGGCAAGTGGGTTGCTCCTCAGCTCAGTAACTGGTTGTTCACCTTCAGACTGTACCAGTACCAAAGAAAACCACGGGAACATGATAAAGGTATCCCACTTGACTTCTCAGAAGGGTATCCAAAACTGCACAAGTGACCAAGTCCACTAATGGTCTCTTGGGATTTTTCATCAGACTTGGGGCAGGTGGCATGGCTAGTGACTGCAGCTCTTTTGGGATCAGCAACTTGCCACTGTGTGAAAACTCAATTCTTTTCAATCATGTAATCACACTCCAGCAAGGCCAGAAGAATCAGTGCTGACTGTTGGGTCAAAGACAAAGCCCAGAGAGACTTTGCTCATGTTCCACAGGCTCTGGGTGTGATATGAGGGAACAGAATACGGGGATGGAGCCAGTATTCCCACGGCTACTGATCCACCCCTCACTGACAGACAGGATGAAATTTGAATGGGTAAGGAAGACATACTTTTCCCAGAGAACCAAGCCCAATTAGAAAATTAGGTCTTACTTGCTTATGACTACTAAGGCAGACATTTTCCCTAGAAGCCACCTTCTGGTAGTGGGCAGACACCTTACTGCAGTCTTCTGTATGAGCTCATTTAAAACAGTACACGGGTCCCTTCCAGTATCAGTGTGATCTTTGATCTCCAAGTTTGCTATTTAACAGGTCTTCATAACATGGCTTTTCTCCATGTCTGTAATACATACATTCTAGTTCCACATTTCTGTTTTCTGTCAGTTGCCATCAAACAGCCCTTTCCCTACACCTCCAAAAAATAAAAATAACAAAGCCAACCCCGCTTTTTTTAAATGGCAATTTCATGCAAGGTTTCAACCCAAGGTTATTTTTTTCTGCCAGTTGTTTCTTTGAGAACAGATGGCATCTGCAACAGTTCAGGATATATCCTATTTTTAAGTATCATATCTTTTTACTCTTCTGCAGTGGACTTAGCAATCAGAGGAAAATACCCCAAGAGCTGGGCTTTTTACATGATGAACAAACCACGCTGTCTCATGACACTCAGGAAATTATCTCCCGTTGCAAATGCCCAGCAGCCAGGGTCTCTGTGTCCACCCTTCTGGTGTAACATTTCCTGCCAGCACTTGATAAGGAACAACCTGCTTCCGGCAGTGCCAACTCAGCAGAGCACTCAAACACTGACACAACAAAACTGGCAGTGAAAAAGTTCAAATTAAGGTTATGCACCATGGCCTGATCTCTAGTACATGGTGTCTCAGGGTTCCATTTTGCAACACAAAATTCAACAGGATGAGAATGTCCCATATGTTGTTTGATTTTCTTTTGGGGATTTTCTCTTGTACATATCATATTTTGACAAGGTAGCAGCTCCCCCAGAATAGGAGAAGCAATGAAAAATGGAGTCAGGAACTGCCATGCTATTTACGTTTGTTTCTTATACTGCAAATTCATAGGATAAAGTCAGACTTACTTTGCAAGTAACTAAAGCTCTGTCTGCCTCTATTTTGATCCATCTGCACAAAAGACCACTATTATAATGGAAAGCCAGCCAGAAAAATCTGATCTTGAGCTTTTAAATCCTGACAGAGAGATCAGGCCAAGTTTTGGACCACACTAACAAGATTAAATGTCTGCTGGGTCAAAGCTGGCTTCTACCCAGGAAAGCAGAGAGGGCTCACACAGATTTGCAAAAGCCCACATGGATGTATCTGAAGTTAGTATTTGGAAGTAGTCGTATGAACACGGAAAAAATGCTGTTATGAATGTTTAAAAAAGGAAAATGCACAGCCACAGTGACTCATTCACCAAGGAAACACAAAAGCTGACATCCGTAATCCTCTGTCAAAGGCACCTGCGTCACCTCTTCCACTAGTACCAGGAGCACCTCCACTTCGGTTCGTGCTCCTGACTGATTACCATTTTGTTTCTCTGTCAGGCTGAGGGCTGAAGCACTAACAGCTCAAAGGCAGCATTGTCTAAAGCAGCTCTGGCTGACTCCCTCACTACCAACCCCTCAAGGCTCAGCAAGCCCTGCAAGGATCCGTGCTGCAATGACTCGTGTCAGCAGTTTGAAGAAGTGGAAGTCAACTACATTGGGATGTATCTCCCTCAGAAAGAATGGAAATTCAAGGGAAAGGAAAAGGAAATCAGTCTGGGAACAGACTTAATGGATGAATCAAAGCATAAGGAAAGTGGAGAAGGGGATCTTTTCGCACATGCTTCACACCAAGTCAGTGGGCTAAGGAAGTCTGACTGTTTTCCACTAGTTCCACCATTAAGGTATTCATCAGGGATACTGAAGAGCAGGGTTCTCCTTCTTATTGAAATAGGAGCAGGATGTGACAATCTTTAGAGATTTTCCCACCTGCTAGACTATTTTGAAGTTCTGGCTTTTGAATTTCTGCTGGTTCCTCTTCTCCTAACATATTTAAACCAGGTGCCTGTTCTCTGCTAAGAGCCCTGGCTGGTACGATACCAAGTTATTCTCACTCTTTGGCCCCATGAATATATACAGTTTGCCAAAATGCCAAACTGATCTTCAGCTCCGTTTTTATCCTGTCTCACAGAAAAATCTCAGATTTTTAGATGCCTACAACATTTGGAAAAACAGAATGGAAACATTCCTGAGAAATTTACTGTTTGCTTGCTTCTGCACAGTTTCTTTAAATCAACATTTCTTATAACAGAGAATCTCAGAAGGAAACAAAATAATACCTATTCCTAGAAAACTGAAGCTGAAGCAAGAGAGTTTATTATTTTTGCCTACAATATTTATGAAGAAGCAGCCTTATTTTGCCAATCAACTTTCTATTGAAATAGGAGGATTTGATAATCTTTAGAGACTTTCCCACCCACTAGACTATTCTGAAGTTATGGCTTCTGAATCTCTCCTCATTCCTCTTCTCCTAAGATACTTAAAACAGGCATCTCTGTTCCCTGACAATATGCCTTATTTTTGCCAACCAACTTACACGGTCCATTCCGTTAATGCCGAAGTTTAATGCTTCTGTCATTAGACTGAGTCCCCAGGGTATGTCACAGTAAGCTTGAGTGAGCGCATATGAGATTTGCTAGTAGGATAAATGGCCTTTTGGTCTCACATACACTTACTTTCTTGCTATTTTGCTACAGCACTTGAAACAGCCAGTCTTGCCAGATACTGATCTTCATACTAGTTCTGTTTTGTAGCACATTGCTTTGAACTTGTGTGGCTACTTGTCAAGGAAGGTGCTCAAGTTCAGCAATAAAGTCAGTCTTAAGAAATCACATAACCACAGAGAGAAAAAAATAAATCAAAGACTCATTTTCAGGCAGCTTGCAGAGGTCAGTTCCCTCCTTTTCAGAAAGACCAGGCACATAGTCCATTTCCCTCAGTTCAAAGAAATAAAGTGTTGCAAATGCTAGCCTCTGGGAGATGCCTGTGCAAACCCTAATTCTTTCCCATGGATTGTATACTCCAGAATCCAATATCTAATTATTTTCCCACAGTTTCCAACCTCCTTCAATGTATAGCATGAATTCTTTAGATGCAAAGTGGGGCACGTTAAAGTGGTCTCTGTTCTGACAGGATTCACAGTCACAGAAGTTGGGAGATGTGTGATGCTTCCCTTTAATGATAAACCTGGAGATAAGGTGGCTGTACAAATGCAGTGTGTCAGAGACTGCCTTCCTGAATAGCCACAGAGGAGCTGAAGGCTTCCTAGAGTAGAGCAAGAGCCCCTCTTCTTGTCCTAAATCCCCTCCTGCAAGATCATTAGGAGTGTGTGGCAGAGCAGGAAGGAAAAAACACCTATGAGCCAAATCCTGTGGGTGGGAACCTCTGGGGCTGTGAAAGGAGCCCACAGGGAAGATATGGAAATTCTGTAGGTTTTGAAGAGAATCTTCCCTTGTTCAGGCCCAGAGGTCCTCACCTTCAAACTCAGCAGTGGAGGGAGGGCTGACAGTAAGAAGTGCCCATATTGTCAACATCAGAGGGACGGGCACAGCCAAAACACCTGACCGGGGGACAAGCTGTAATTCCATTAGCAGGTTTGACAGCCAGATTGAGCTGTCTCTCAAATTGCAAATTGCCTTAGAAGGGTGAGTTTGTAGTACCGGCAATTCTGTGTCACCCTAGAAAACAAGATTTTCACCCTTCTCTTGGGCATAGCTTTCTTGCATTACAGAGTTCCTTCCCAAGCCAGCATCCTAAATGTACCCATGTTTCATTTCCCAGGTGTCCATTTTGGGACATCTGGTACATGGATAACAAATTCCCACCTCCCACTGAAGGTCAGTGAAAGCTATGCTTTAAAGGCAAATAGAGGAACAAAATGTCAAGTACCCTGGTCTCCCCCACCCCCTGTATCCCAGATATAAAATCTAAAATGAGTGGGCATATCAGGCAGTAACAGCTTTAACATTTGCATCTCAGAGGCTCACATATGAGATGGAGCTAACACCACTTCACTTCAGTGGAGTGCTAGCTGAGGGGAGAAATCCACCCGTGTTCATGAACAGCTTAGAAACTATGATCAGAGCATTTGCAGTCCCTGAAGGAAGTTTGTATTCAGTGTGGGGTTCAGAGGATGGAGTAATATAAAGGAAAATAAAAGGAAATGAAAAAGCACCAACCATCTTGACTGAGGTGAGAAGTCCAAAGTGAGTGCGACCCCTACTTGAAGACTGTCTTAATGGAAACTCACACACACACCTGAGGAAAAGGATGGTGAGACAAATCAGGAGTTTGGATGGATGAATTTAAATAAGGTGTATCTAAACATTCAGCTTTTGGTTCACAAACAACACCACACACATACAGAGACACAACCCTATGTTGAAAGTTGGCCCAGACAACTCCTACTGCCAGCAGATAAAAATACATATTTATATGCTGCCAAATTTGCAGCCCAGGCTACTCTACCCTTAGCTTTTCTGCCCTGTGGACATAACTCATACCTGGTACACTTAAATGGCCCTAGGCAGCGAATGAAAAATACTGTTTTATTTACAATTCTGTAGCAAATGATTCACTGTAGATATACGTCAAGCTTTCATTAAATATTCACCATTCAGTTGTTTGCTCCTGCTGCCATAAGGCAATGCAGTGGCAGTACCACTGGCTACATAACAGTGACAATTGCCTTAGAATTACTGAGAGTACACTTCTCTGCAATAAGGGAGTAACTTGCAACTTATTTGCCAGGAATACGCAATTTGAAATTTGATTTTCATTTAAAGCAGCACTTTGACTTAAAGTTCACCACCAGGTACTGAAGCTTCTTTGATGCTACAGTCATCTAGGCCACTCCTGGGATTGGTCAAGTATCAATCTGCAGCAGTCCAAAGAGTTTTCAGGCAATGTGCACATCCATCAGAGAGATATGGGCTTTTTTAGAAAAGGCACTGCCTTTTTTGAGGAATCACTTTCAATCAGGTACTTCCTACCATAAAAAGGTTGCACATTTAAAGTAAGTATGAACCCAACCTGCATACCATAATCCCAAGATCAAATATGCTCCTGTTTATGTAAAAAAAATAATGTATGCAGCTAAAAACATATACTGCCTCACTCATTACTGCAGTACCAGTAAACAGCAGTTACACCTGAAGCCTCACCACAATCAACAAAGAGCTCCAGTGACCTGGATTTTTTTCTTCATAACCAAAATCCCTCATATGAGACTTAATACACTGAAGACAGCCAGGGAACAGTTTGTGCTAATGTTTTCCTTAGTAGCTGGGACAGGTTACAAGAAGGTATGTGTTCAGTAGCCACAGCTCAGCTGGCTGATGAGAGCTCACTCGATCAGCCACAATAAACTAGTAATTTGCAACTATGCAGAAATATCTCTAAATAAAGATGTGTAAGATTGCTGAAGAATACTCTTTCAGAACAGCAAAGGAGAAACTTTTACCTTTTATATCTGCCAGAAGAAATTCACTTATAACCCTGTATTTGCCAGTCTCTGGTACTCTGCCACCCCTTTCTGCCAGCAATACCACTATGGCAGTGTCAGATGACTGTTGTGACATTAATAAGTGGAATCTGGGTTAAAAATGGTCAACATATTCCCCCGTACAAATACTTCTTTAATTATGAGGAAAAAAGAGAGGAAGTGTTTAGAAAGATCACCTAAGCAAGCCTTGCCTGGGATGTTTGTTCCAAGCCAGTTACACTGCCCTGCACTGCTGCTTTCAGAAGTAATGACATCCATCCTACAGCCAATTGCAAAATTATTTCTGGCTTTCAAAGAAAATCTTTCCATTCTGTTCCTGAAACTATTCAATGCTCCTGGATCCACACCTGGTTCTAATACAACTGCCTGAAGACAATGTGTAGGCACTGGGTGAGGATTACCAGAAAATGTCACCTTTCCAGCTGGAACATCTGCCCACTTCTGTTTAGCTCTCTGCTTCAGAATGTGAGTACACTGCTGGGACTGTACTGTTTCACCAAGAGACTTACTGAAGAAAGAAGTCGTGAAATTAGACGGTGAAAGTCGAACACATCCTCTAGAAAGCCACCCCGACCTGATGCTTGGAGGGTTCTGTCTCCAGAAATCACAGGCAGGTTTTCATAAGGAAAGAAATTAGGAAGAAGCTCTTTACTGTGAGGGTGGTGAGGCACTGGCACAGGCTGCCCTAAGAAGTGGTAAATACTCCATTCCCGGCAGTGTTCAAGGCCAAGCTGGGTGGGGTTTTGATCAACCTGGTCTAGCGGAAGGTGTCCTTGGCGTTGGCAGGGGGTTGGAACTAGATGAGGTCTTAAAAGGTCCCTTTCAACCCAAACCATTCTATAATTCTAACTCGCTTGCTGGGCAGTCCCAGTATTGTGGAAGATCATGGAAGACACAACAATTTTGTAAAGGGGAGTCAAGTGGTTGTCTTAATTACCAAGATTAATCAGCATGGACAGAGAGGGTCAAAGCAATAAGGATTCTGTCCAGTCACAAGCAACACTGACTCCAGAATGTCAGGATCACATTTTTGCAAGCCTTTTAATGAGGTTTTCTTCACATTACATGAGTTTTATGTACTGTAATAAAATTACTTTATTTTCACATTGAAATTCACTATAAAATATACTGACAACATCCACCATGTCCTGGAAAATATAACCACCCTGCCTGTAGTGCAGAGCTGTCAGAGCTCCAAACTGTATCACCACATCCCAGTCACAGGAACACCAGGCACTCATACAAAACTCAGAGGACAGAGGAGGATGAGAAGGGTTATGGCCTCCAGCTGAGCTGCCACAGGCCTATATGCAGGAACATATCAGAGACTCTACCCATGCTCGTAGAGGCTACAGATCTTGCAAGATTTGAACAAGCCATCACAGTTGGCAAGGATTATTTGTATGCTCACCAGGAAAAAGCATCCCCTTAAATCATAACCCTATGCATCTCATCTCAGGCAGCTCCTGCTGTCAGAAGGTAAATTGCCAGGCAAGAGCAGTGACCACTAAAGGCAGCTGGTCCCAGTCTCACACACCCTGATCCCTGTCCTGGCAGTGTCAGCAAACCTGATTTCCCTGGGTGCAGGCAGAGGCAAAGCAAACAATGAAGATATGACCATTTTGCTGTGCCCTTGGCAGGCTGCTGCTGCCCAAGGCAACAGCCTACATCACCTATGCTCCCAATGGGCCCTGTTTTTCAGTCAGTTCTGCTATACCTTGAAATGACTCTATTAGCACCTCGAAAAATAAGTCATTTGGGCCCCACCTAATGTTTGAGAGATTTCAACAGTTGCCTTGACTCATGGATCTGCAGACTAATTGCAAGTACCATCCAGAACATTAAAGCCCACACACAATTGTGACAACTTTGATATTATTGCTTAGAACAGTGCCCACTTGAGTCATGCTTTGATTCAGTCACTAGTATTTTCATGGAAAAGGGCATATTTTCCCCCAACCCCATTTCACAGAGTGGGAAGCACACAGGAAGGATTTATCCCACATAAAAATAAATTGCTATTTGCTTGTCAGAAAATAGCTCTGGAAAACAGAAAAACATCAATTATTCAGAGTAGCAAATAAACAAAAAGTGATTTTTTCCAATTTTTAAAAATAAATAGTTCATCTGCAAGCAATGGCTCAATTTTTTCCCCCAACAAAGCAATTCCCGAATCTCCTGTCTATGGAGTTTACATATCAAGTCTGACACACTGGTCTGATTACTGTCAGAATAAGCAAAACAATGAGCTTGTACAGCCAAAAAGCCTTGAATCCAAACAGATGCCAATTCAACCTGTAGATAGATATTCCACTGTGCCTTTGAAAACTTGACAAAAAAAAAATAAAAGGAAAAAAAAAGAAAAAGAGAAAAATAGTCTTTCACGTTTTTTTTTCAAGATGGGAAGGGAGGTTTTCTCTTTTAATCAGCGACCTGAAGATGTCAGCTCCACTCTTGCACATTAACATGCCATTAGCACACAAGTTCAGAGCAATTATCTTTGTGAATGTGACTGAATACAATCTAAGACACCACAGTGAGAAAGAAAATGATAAATCTCACTGTTACATTATTTTTATTGCTGTTGCAGCCAGACATGCCTGTTGGGCAGGGATGAGGTTGCTGCCATGTTGCCTACATGCACAGATTGTGAACGTGGCCAGTGTCTTGGCCTCTCTGTCTTCTCCACCACTTTTTCCCCATACAATCTAGGACAAATAACCCATCCTACACCGCAGATGCCTACTGATACACCAGGGCAGTTATTCCACCTACTGCAATGAATAGGGTCCAGCCTTGACTCAGCCACCATTGTGAGGAGCAACAGCCTCTCTGCTCTGTAGACAGAATGAGCTTACTGTGGATTTAGCTCATTTTTTCTTATTCTGGCAAGTTTTAATAAGACTGGGAAAAAATAGCAAGCACTGATAACGAAAATTGTGGTTTGTGCATAGTATTAGTTTGACCAGTGGGATAAAATTACATACTCGGGATGGTGGAGTTTTCTGCTTCATGATGTATTTTTTCTGAAGATGGCAAACAGCTATGAAAGTGTTCATTAGTGAATAGTGACAAGTAGTTTCCTGTGGTCTTAAAACAAACCATCAATTACATAGAGTGTTTTCAGTTCTAGAGGCTAAAAAGCATTCAATACTGTTCAGCTGGTTACATGTTTTTCATGCAATCAGGTGATGAGAAAACCAAGAAGTGGAAAAAAAAAAAAAATGAAAGAAAAAAAAAGGAAAAAAGAAAGAAAAAGAAGCTATTGTGCTTTCCCCAGGCCATCATGCTTCAAAATAGCCTTCAGCTGAGGCCTAGATACTCAATGTGCCTGCAAAACTAATGGCTTTTTGCAGAGATATAAGCCAGATCTTCATTTAACCTGATCATCTTTGTTCAGCAGGTGAAGTAAAGGGTTGTGTCCCATAAAGAGAAGCACAGAGTGGCGAGAAGGCCTTGTAGCTTTACTGGGTACTGCCAAGAATGTTCATTCTCGTCCCTTTTTTTTTTTATTTTATTTTAATCCTTATGCACTGACATGTCAAGAGAAGACTTCAAACTGGTTTCAAAAAAGGCCTGCACTTATGAAAGGTAGGAAATTTTCCACCTCAAGAGCGGCAGACAACACCCCATCCTCCTAAACCAGCCTGGTTTTCCTTCCCTTGAAATGATCCTAGTCAGAAAACAGAAACTGTGTTGGCAAATGTTACATGACCTGTTCCTCACTGTAATACTCAGAAAGGGGAACCAGTTGCACCATTGGAAATATGTGAAATAACAGCACCCCTAAAGCTATATCACAAAACAGAGCATCGTACATTATGGGGCTTTTTATACCATCTAATGTAAACCAAGAAATCTTCCTACATGTCTTTGAAGGAAATTTACCCGATCTCAGGAAAATCACAGCTACTGTGTTTAAGATGGTGACAGAAATGTGCTTCTGAGCTGTGGGCACAGAGTAAACTATCTGGCTGTTCAAGTACACCTTTTACACAACAGATGCGAGGTTTGGAAAATGCAGCTCTAAAAAACACAAGGTCATAGCAAGCAAGGTCTGGTACTGCAAGCTCTAGAGACTTTCTAATGTAAGAACTAGTTCTGAGTTCCCTTTCATAAGCAGATTGCAGCACACTATAGAGCTGGTTTGAGAGGCCTCTCTGTTAGGCATTACCTAGCACTGTACATTTAGAAACAAACTTTGACAACAAAACTAGTTTTGTGTATTTATTCTGTATCCCAGGAAACTTAACAGAAAACATGGAAACTTCTGAAACACAGCAAAAGGTGGCTTTCTGCAGGTGGAACGCTCTCTCCAGAAACCTGTCTTCTTTTGACAGAGGTGCTTGTTTGCTTGCATTGTTGTGCTCCCATTGCATGCTCAGATGATCCCCCCATCCCAGCTCTGTCCATGCCATGATCAATAAAGTAGACCTGTGAAGCTGTTTCAGATTCAGACCACCCTTATTATTCATCACAGTGGATATTGTGTCAGTAAGACAGTGGTTTCACACAAACTGCATGGGTTATCTTGCTAAAGTATAACCATAGTACCAACCACAAAGAAAATATTTCTGTCCATAGAAATGATCAATATAAGCATTGTCTTCATGTAGAAGAAAGGATAGTGGGGACCCCTTTGAGACTATCCTGAAGCACTCTGACTACAGCAGTATCACAGAATCACAGGTCATGGAATCACAGAATGGTTTAGGTTGGAAGGGACCTTACAGATCATCTAGTTCCAACCTCTCTAACAAAACTGATGCGGGGCTGCTTTCAGCTTATCAATTCACTTCAGCAGAGATTGTCCATACCTGCTATCTTTCAGAGCCAAGACTATAAGTTTTATGACTTTATTCAGGGTGAGTTTACTGAAGTCAAGAAAGAGATGTAAGGACTCCTATTAGCATGACCTATCTGCATTTTGGGTCAGATCCCAGGAAAAAAAAATAAAACAAACCAAAACTGCACTCCCTTTTCAGCCATAAATTATGTGCTTAATTATCCACATGTCAAGCTGTGCTTGCAAATAACTAGGAAGGTCAGATCAGAGTGACTTAGACCTTTAAAAGCCAGTTTCAGGAGGCAGTCCTTTCCATGTCAGACATGTAAGAACATTATACTTAGCACTCACTGTCACTTTTTGCAAATTGCTTCACAAGGGCCATGAACAAGGAGTAAACTCTTCTTCGCACTTGGAGCAGTTAAGGAGCCTGTGATGCCAGGGTCTGTGCTACATGCTTGCAAGATGACAGAATTTCAGTTTCGGGACTTCGCCACATAAACATCTAACCATATGAAGTAGGAGGTAACCAATTCTCTCTCATATTGTTCAGAGTCCTCATGACTACCATTTACACTCAGGATAATCTCAACCTGGAATAAACCCAACAGAGGATGGATTAAGGCTTAGGGTGTTTTCTTTGAACTAGTAGTCACAGGAGGAATTTACCAAGTCAGTATTATATTGCAAAGGGCTTCAGGCAGGGACCATAGGCCGTATTATTGTGGCTGTGAACAGAGACACACACTGAATTAAACTCATAATGGGAATAAACATTAGAGTGTAAGGGAGATGCACCCTGAATTTGTCTCTTTTGTTTTTCATAGCATGTGGCTACAAACAGACTGAGTCCAGCTCCTGAGATGCAAAAGAGTCCTGTTGACAGCACCATCTATCCTCCCCATGCACCCAGAAAAATTAAATCAGGTCTCAGTGAACCCAAATCAAACATCCCATTTCCCAGGTGTTTTAAGGGGCCATAGGACTGACTGAAAAGATTTCATTGTGACTCAAAGTGGGAATAACATGCCTTCACCAAGGAAAAGGCACTGTCTTGTACCATTTCATGTGTAAATAGTTGCTGCCTCTGCTTCCACCAAACCTCAAAGCTCATTATAGCTGAAGTGCTAACCCATGAGAAAAGCCCAGAACGCAGAAACATGGCATGGAGACATTACAGCTTTTATCCTTCATAGAATTAGTTTGTTTAATTTTGATGAGATAGAAGGGAAAATAAAGGGTACACATGAAAAGCCACCTTGTTACATCACCTCAGCAGTTCCATGAGTGTCTTTTCTTGTACTTTTTTCTTCCCTTTCTTTTTTTAGCATTTCGAGGGATCTCAAGTGAGTCAAAGTGTCCTTTACTCTCTCACGCACAAGAGGAGCTGCAAAACATGTCACAGAAGTTACATCTTTGAAGAGCCAGACACAAAAAACAGATTCTGCAGCAGCATTAAACATAAATTACACAGCACAAACCCTGAGCTTTCCCTTAGAGCTGGCATTTTGCTTTCCTTGTCTCCAAATATGCAAGCAACACTGGGATGTGCTTTGTGCACCCCTGTTACCCTTTCTCCTGGGGTGGGGGGAAGACAAAAATATAACTCAGCAGAGAAATTGTTAATTTAACAAATGAAGAACAGAGAAGGAACCTGGTGAGAAATGACAGCATCAGATATGGGAAAATGAGAAGCCAAAAGGGAAATGTTGTGCAAAGTGCTTAAAGTGTCCAGGAGCAGTGAAGAAAAGCTGTGCAAGACCAAAAAGCAGGAAGAAACATGTAGTCTCTATGCATGCATGCATCGGGAGAGGAAACAGATGATTGCAAGGCACACACACAAACTTTTGTTGAGAACAAAGAGACCTGAACTCCTCTTTTTTGTTTTTGTAACTTTCCATTTCCCCTCCCCACCATGAATTTCTGCATGTGTTTGACTGGATCACTGAATCCAAAACCACAATACCCGAGTGCTTACTGACATATACATTGGTATATGTGACTCTTTTCTCATAGATGCAGGACATACAACTTTCTGTAATGATAGGCAGAGGATGCAGATGTTCACTATTTGTAAAACCATTGCTTTTCCAACTAAATTGAACGTAGGTGCTCATCTCTGAAAATTTAACCTAGGGACTTTCATTCCACTTCACCAGTAAAGTGCATACAGTGAAGAGGTTTTACAAGGAAGAGTGAGGGGGAAAAAAACAGCTGAATTTATCACATCCTTCTCCACTTTTTAATTAGGGAAAAAATGGAGGAAAGACACTGGAAGCAAAATCAATCTGCTGCTCTTGATTTAGCTCTTTGTTTAGTGACAATTTGACTCATAAGACCAAATTATCTCTGGGGAAATAATTTCAGTTCAAGGCAATTTCTCCAGTAGACAAGTTGCTTACCTTTCTTTCTCGGGTCTGTGTGCTTCCCCCCTTTGTTCTCTGAACCTGAGAATATCTTTAATTTCAGGGCATTTCTTTATCAGCTTTTCAAATGAGATCTTCAAAGTGAGAAGCATTTTCTCCATACAACTAAACTTTTCTTCATACCTATAATAAGTTTTAAAGCAAATTAGAAATTCCTTTAGCTGCAAAACACCAGGGAAAAGAGATTTTGGAATACACAGCATTTTCATTAGAAGAAAGAGTAAGTGAGACACACTGACTGATTTGAAGTCTATGCGATAAGGGAAAAAAATGACCTTTCATCAGACCTGTAATTCATTAATACCGTTCCCCACCTCTCATCTGGAAGCCAGTCATATCGCTGGATATATTGTGCATCAGCACAACTGTTTCAGCCCTCTTAAACCAAATCACGATAGAAAACTTGTCATTTATTTCTGCTATTTTTTTCTTTACTTTCCCAGGGATTTAACTTTATTTGCTACTTAGGTAAAAATAACTTCTGAGGATCCTAACTGTGGGTTTGAATCTAAGCTGTTTGGAATTTATGTTCTACTTCTCATTTTCAGCCCTGGTATTTCTTTGCAAGATATCTCACTGGGAAGCAACCAGAAAAACATTGCCTTATTTCCTTTTTTTTTTTTTTTACAATTTCAAAAGTCATGTAAGAAAGATAAAATGACCATCAATAGCTCCCAGGGGGAAGACTGGAAATATAGGAGATTCATGAGCTGTCCTTAATGCATTAGCTGCTCCCACACATTCAAAACCCACATGAAAATCGGAACCCACACACAGTAAAAGCCCTCATGAATATGTGCACCACTTCGAAATTTAAACAGTCTTCTAATGGAAGAAGATAACCTATTAAAGGCAAGAGTGCCCATCTACCAACATGATGTTTATGCTGCTCAGACTGCTAGGGCTCTCTATTTTGCTATTAAAGCCCCTCCTGCTTTTTTCTTTTGTGTAGCACTGAGATGGAAGCCTAACAAAGGTGTCGTTTCCCAGGAGGGATCCTGCTTCTTTGCTTGCCTGTATTGAGGGAACAGGGAGACACACTGATGTAACTGCTATGCAATGGGGATGAAATGCTGTCAGCATGGCCGGATTACTGGGAGCTGATCCACTGGCATTGTCTTTCATATCTCCACAGTCCTTTCCAATTTGTATTTACTAATCCAATGTGGGTAGGCCCTCTTCTTCATTTTTTCCTCTGACTGTCATCACCTCAAGGCTAACCACAGACCAATTGCTATCTAAAACCTCTGCAAGGACCAAATCCACATCTCCCTGTATGCTGAGAAATCCCCTAAAGAAATACTCCCTTCCATACCAAGGAGATACACTGCTACTAAAGAGCAGCTGCTGTAAGAGCAGTCCTCATCCTGGTGAAATGTGACTTGAGAAACAGCAGAAACACTCATCTCACCTGAACATTCAGGACAGTATTTCTGTGTCCATCCACTTTTCATTCCTGAGACAGGCTGAGAGTTTGCATATTGTGAGTTATTACAGTTTAAGTGATGAGTGACTGTCTCAGTGGAGAAGCAGCACAGGGCATCTAAACCCACCCAACATTTTGCTGCCACTGTTGAAAGGGGGAAGTCCTACACTCCCCATATCAGTCTTAAACATGCTCTCTTGCTTACCTTCCACCAGCTCTGGTGCTTGCTGGGAGCGGCTGAGAATTGATACAACCCAGTAATCCAGCAGCAAATTGTCTCAGAAAAAGCAATTTATTTTCTGCCAGTATAGGGGCGAAATCGGTTCAGTAAAATGTTTTACGAGCTGTAGAGTCAGCACAAGACTGAGAGCAAGAGCAGGGGTAGGGAGGACAAGGAGGAAGAGGATCTCTCCCCCTCAGCAGATGTAAGCTGTTTGTAAGACTTAGCCATAACATGCAACTTCACCTTTGGGATCATGCAGATGTTGACTCCCATCACTATGAAGGCATCCAAGCAGAGTGATTAGAAAGGAAGGGTAAAATTTCTTTGGAGTGCACTTTGACAGAAAAAAGAAAAACGTGTGAATAGAGTTGTCCAAACATACATTTTTTGTGGAAGAAAATTGCAGGATGTGTATTTTAGGAGAGATGATATTTTTAATCTTTTTTATTTTTTATTTTTATTCATTAAATCTGCTTAACATTAATCACAAACAAACATTTGGCACAAAGGATAGCCTTATTAATGATTCAGTGCCTTGGTTCTTCCAGCGAGGGGAAACACTGAAATCCAGCATATTACAGGCTGGATAACAAGCTGTTAAAAAATAACTGGGAAAACTCCTAACCTTTCGAGGGAGGCATAGAAAAGGGAAAGGGAAAGGGAAGAGAAAGGAATAGGTCATTATACATCGCAAAAATAGATCACTAATTTCTTTTTTTGTTTTAGTTCTTTGCAGGTTTCTTTTCAAGTAAAGGACACGACTTTTAAAAAGCCTTTAACAGCACTACTTTGCACTTTTAATAAAGACTTCTTAAAGACATTAACTTCCACATGGCCCATAGCCTTTTCCTCTGGGGCAGACATGAAACGGCTGTTCTGGCAGCAACTAATGCTCTCACAGCCAAACATCTACACCCCTGTAATGAAGCATAGCTGGGTTCTTACACAAGAGCAGAGCCCTCAGGCCTCCTCTTCTCAGTGTGACTGCTGAAGCATTGATGGTCAATGGCTATTACCACCATACCAATGAAGTCCTCAAAACTCATCTCCAACCTGGGAATCTGGCCTGTGAGGGTAGAAACTGCATCACCCAACAGTATGATCTTACCCATACTTAGGGAAAAAATCATCACAGTAACAGCTCAGAAACAGAGACAGCCAGCCAAAAGTTTCTCCCTGAAAACCTGTTTCATGGGTTTATATCATTAATAGCCTCTTCCTCTCACGGACCGAACACCACACAAAGTGCCCACAGTGGCCTTCAGGTATATATTATTTATTGTGATCTCAGGAGGTCCATGCTAAAAACAGCCTGGGAAAGCAGACTGTATTTTATCCACCACATGACCTAGTTTCAGCAGCTCTGTCAAGCACTTCTGTCACCAGCAACAGGGCTGAATAATGTTCAGTGAAGTAGGTGATGAGTTACGTGAAACTAGCTTCCAGAGGAAATTAATTTCCACAGAGAGCTCTGGCTACTTGAACTTTGTTTTAAAAAGCTGTGTTTTATTGCCGTCAAAGTTAATGAAGAAAGGTAGCTGACAGACTGCTGCACAGTCTGTGTTATCTCACAGCCACCTTCCTTCCACCAGCAGAAGCAGCAGCCGAATAGGAACATCCACTGAAATGAGCTTCCATGTGCACCGATTTTACTGTTTTTCTTGCAACTGCCACATCTACTGCTCTAATATTGCCATGAGAGATAATCAAACCGACTTTTAATACAATGCTGTGCATATGGCATCTCCGCCAAGACCATTCTCAAGCAGAAGAACAGATTGCAAAAAAGTACTGCATGCTCAGCCTTCTGCCTGGGAATGTAGGTAGGAGATAAAATAAAACTCCCACCACTCCTTACGAGCACATGATCTCCAAAAAAAGCTATTTTTCTGCTTTGCTTTTGCCAGACTTACCATAGTGGATCTCCCTCCAGGGTTTCCAACTCTCTGCCCTGCGCCTGACCTAGTCTTTGCATGCTGGAAGATTCTGGAGGCCCTAGACCAAGACCTTAGACCATACATTAGTATAAAGGTAGTATTAGCATATTAGTATATATGATAGTATTAGTATAAAGGTAGTATTAAGTCCATCAGCCTGAAGAAAATACCCTCCGTATTACACCCACACTGCAAGATTTACCCTAAAATTAAGGACAAACTACTTTGTGGAACCTACATACAGTTCATTCACACCCAGGTAGGTTACTGCTTCTAATAGTGCTTACCTCAAACATCTCACAACATCTGTTGTCTCTCATCATGTTCAAAAGTATGACTGTCTACATTTCAAAGATACATGGGAAAACGTGGGAAAACTGCAAAAGAATCTTCTACTGTGGAGTGGCTGCTATTCCACACTGTTAATCTTAGCACAGAAAATCAGGCAACTTATCTCTGCTCAGGATCCTTTGCATGAATATTGCTGGAAAACACACTTTGATGTGATCAGATGCCTCATAGTAGTTCTTCACTGAGTATATCAGGAAACAGCAAACGGGTTGAAGCAAAGACTTCACAAGATGGTATTTCCTTGTGGTGTTCTCTATCGAGATTTAGAAGAAAAATGATGAAAAACTTGAAGTTTTTCTACTTTACGTGTCTTTGAGGCCCCATGTGCTTGCCAAGAATCAGGTAAAAAAAAAAGCATGTGCAAACTGAAAAAAAGAATTTTAGAAAGCAATGCTCAAAAATACCAGAAACAGCTGTTTAGTCATATATCTTACCTGAGATAAAGCCACAGGCAAGAACAAAAGGGATCTCCCACCTACCTTTCAGCTGCTCAGGGAATGCAGATACAAGACTAACAGCTTCTCGGTCTTTACCTTTCTTTACCTTACTCTTTCATGCAGTATTTTACATGTTTGGCTAGACACCATGGAAATGTCCCACACACTTCCTTAGCTGAAAAGCTTCTCAATAGCATAGTCGTGGGGTTTCCTACAATGAAACTCAAATGTGCATCTGCTTTCCTTAACATTTCTAGATCTTCTGATCAGTACTAAACTCAGCCACATCTGATTCATAGGTGTGTATACCCAGCCTTCTAACCAGTACTCATCAGCCATTAGCATACAAAATTAATGACTCAGTTCCTCATCAGACTGCTTTAGAAATAGAACATTTTTTTAAACAATTATGAATTCTGAGATTTGTCTTCAAATGTTTTATGTTGATCAAACTCTTCTTTGTAATCACCAGTATCAGAATCTTACTTTTTAAAAATAGAAACATGAAAGTCATATGAAATAGCATGGTTCCAGAAGTCCATGCTACACAGTCAAAATAAATGCATAAAGCTTGATAGCTTTTTTCCACTTGTTAACTTCACAAGCTTTGTAGACAAACTAGAACAACCCGTCAGCACCAGATATATAGACAGCCCTTGGATTTTTGGAGGGAAAAGAGGCAGCAGGAAGGTAAGAGATCCCTGCCCTTGAAGGTAGGGAAAGCAGCAGGTAAAAGTGGAAATGCAGCT